TTCGGCGGCGAGGAGGGACACCGCCTTGAGTAAGAAGGACGGGGGCTGTCGGCGGCGAGGAACAGCACCGTCTTCGGGAGAAAGGGCGGAAGCCTCGAGCGGGAGCGTTGTTCTTGCTGGGCGCGGCGCCAATTCAAAAAAAAGTAGGGCGCCAGTCCAGCGTAAAACGGAAGGAAGTCTCGGGCAGCAGCGCTGGTTTTGTCGGGGCGGCGGCTTTCGGCGGCGAGGAGGAGCACCGCCTTGAGCAAAACAGGGAGGACGCCTCGAGCGGGAGCGTTGTTCTTTTTTCTGGGGGCGGCGCCGATGAGAGCAAGACTAGCGCGCCAGTCCTAGGTACAACGGGAGGAAGTTTCGAGCGGGGGAGTGCTGGTTTTGTTAGGATGGCGGCTTTCGGCGGCGAGCAAGAACACCAGTGCTGAGTAAAAAAGGAAGAAAATTCGAGCGGGAGCGTTGTTGTTGGGGGGCCGGTTCTGGCGGACCCCCAAACCGCTCGAGCGTGAGCCTCATTTTCAATGAAAATGTAGCCGGCGCCCCAGCGAGAGCGCCAGGGCGCCTTTCAGGTGCCAACACTAAGAATTGTCTAGTAATTAATATTCAACAACAATCATGTGACCCTCACGCGCGGTGTTTCCACACGAAGCATGCGACCATCATGAGAACCATCCACATCATGGGGGACTCTGGTTCTAGAGCGGGGTCCGTTATTCCCATTCCCAGATCTCCCGCCCAATGAGGTCTTGCAAACACTTCCTCCGAGGAATTTCAACAGATCCCGCCTCGAAAACACATGCCGCACATTGCTGCGCCGATGCGAGACCGCCGGTGGAACCCCAGCGAAGGGTAGAGAAGGAAGTATCGAACGACAGGATTGCCTTGGTGGGGATGGGGGCTGTCGGCGGTGAGGCAAGGACCTGGCCCTGAATAGAAAGGGAGAAAGTCTCAAGCAGGGCTGCTGTTGTTGTTGGGAGCGGCGCCAATGCTGAAGAGAGTAGGGCGCTAGTCCAGCGCAGAACATAATGAAGTCTCGAGCGGGAACGCTGGTTTTGTTGGGACGGCGGCTTCGGCGGCGAGGGGGAAAGCCGTCTTGAGTAAGAAAGGAGGAAGCATCGAGCGGGAGCCGTGGTTTTGTCGGGACGGGGGCTGTCGGAGGCGAGGAACAGTACCGTCTTCGGGAGAAAGGGCGGAACCCTCGAGCGGGAGCGTTGTTCTTGCTGGGCGCGGCGCCAATGCAAAAAAAAGTAGGGCGCCAGTCCAGCGTAAGACGGAAGGAATTCTCGGGCGAGAGCACTGGTTTTCTCGGGGCGGCGGCTTCCGGCGGCGAGGAGAGACACCGCCTTGAGTAAGAAGGGGGCACGCATCGAGCGGGAGCCGTGGTTTTGTCGGGACGCGGGTTGTCGGCGGCGAGGAACAGCACCGTCTTCAGGAGAAAGGGAGGAAGCCTCGCGCGGGAGCGTTGCTCTTGTTGGGAGCGGCGCCAATTCAAAAGAGAAGTGGGCGCTAGTCCAGCGTAAAACGGAAGTCTCGGGCGGCAGCGCTGGTTTTGTCGGGGCGGCGGCTTTCGGCGGCGAGGAGGAGCACCGCATTGGGTAAAAACAAAAAGAGGAAGGCTCGAGCGGGAACGTTTATATATATATATATATATATATAGATATATATATAGTGTTTCTGGGGGCGGCGCCGATGAGAGCAAGACTCGCGCGCCAGTCCTAGGTACAACGGGAGGAAGTTTCGAGCGGGGGAGCGCTGGTTTTGCTAGGACAGCGGCTTTCGGCGGCGAGCAAGAACACCAACCCTGAGTAGAAACGGCGGACATCTTGAATGGAAGCGTTGTGGTTGTGGTTGTGGTTGTGGTTGTTGTTGTTGTTGGTGTTGTTGTTGGTGTTGTTGTTGTTGTTGTTGTTGTTGTTGGTGTTGTTGTTGTTGTTGTTGTTGTTGTTGTTGTTGTTGTTGTTGTTTTTGTTTTTGTTGTTGTTGTTGTTGTTGTTGTTGGTGTTGTTGTTGTTGTTTTTCTTGGGCTCTCATTCTTGAAAAATAATTTTTGTTGACCCCCCATCACCAGTGCACATTGATTTTTTTCTATTGAAGTGCCCCCCCCCCGGGGCTCGCACCTTGTTTTTTGTCTAGGAAAATCTTCCTGCTCAAACTGGCCCCCTGGCCCCCCGGTTACAACAACAACCGTTCCCGCCAGAGACTTCTACAATTTAGCCAGGACCCCCGCTCCCGCCCGAGATTTCCTCGCATTTTATTCAAGAATCGCGCTTTCGCTTGGGACTTCCTTACGATTGATTCAGGAATCGCTCCTCCTGCGCTCTGGAGTCGCGCTCTCGCTGGAGACTTGCTTGCAATTTACTAAAGAATAGCGCCCTTGCGTTGGAGTTTCTTGAAATTTACTCCAGCGCCGCGCTCCCGACACCCAGGCACCCAGGAGTCGCGCTCACGCTTAGGACTCCTTCACAGATTACATAGGAATCAGGATCTCGCTGCCCTTCGTGACCCCGTTGCAGCCCTTCGTGGCCCCCTCGCTTTGTTTCGTGGCCCCGTTGCAACCCTTCGTGGCCCCCTCGCTTTGTTTCGAGGCCCCGTTGCAGCCCCTCGTGGTCTCCTCGTTGCCCTTCGTGGCCCCGTTGCAGCCCTTCGTGGCCCCCTCGCTTTGTTTCGTGGCCCCGTTGCAGCCCTTCGTGGCCCCCTCGCTGCCTTTTCGTGGCCCCGTTGCAGCCCTTCGTGGCCCCCTCGCTGCCTTTTCGTGGCCCCGTTGCAGCCCTTCGTGGCCCCGTTGCAGCCCTTCGTGGCTCCCTCGTTTTGTTTCGTGGCCCCATATGTGTATGCCCTTCGTGGCCCCCGCTCGTTCGCGCCCGTGGTGGCCCCATATGCATGCCCTTCGTGGCCCCGCTGTCGCCCTTCGTGCCCTCGCTGCCCTTCGTGTCCCCGTTGCTGCCTTCAGTGGCCCCGTCCTTACCCTCCGCGGCCCAACATACGCATGCCCTTCGTGGCCCCCGCTCGTTCGCGCCAGTTGTGGCCCCATGTGCATGCCCTTCGTGGCCCCGCTGTCGCCGTTTGTGGCCCCCTCATTGTCCTACGTGGCCCAGGTGCTACCCTCAGTGGCCCCATCGCTTGTTCGCGCTCTTCGTGGCCACATACGCATTCCCTTCGTGTCCCCACTGTCGCCCTTCGTGGCCTACTTCGCGTCCTTCGTGGCTCTGCTGTCGTTCTCTCTCGCTCTCGCTTTCGCTCGTCGTCGCCGTCGCCGTCGCCGTCGTTGCCGTCGTCGTCGACGTCGTCGTCGTCGTCGTCGTCGTGGTCGGTCCCCTGTCCGTCCCTCTTGGGTTCGGGTCGACGGTCCGCGGCCGTCCCGCCGATCAGCGCTGCCGCTGGCCAGGCCGACGGTCCGCGGCCGCCCCGCCGCTTGCCGGGGCCCGGCCTGCAGGGAAGAAAGGTATACCTCCCAAAAGGGGTTCGATCGAAGACGAAAAGGGCGGGTATCGAGGGTTTGGGGAATTCGCGTTATTCGACACTCGAGCAGATAAGGGCGAACAGTCTTAAAATGATTGTTCTTGTTGTTGTTGTTGTTGCTGTTGTTGTTGGGTGGCCGGTTCTGGCGGACCCCCAATGCGCTCGAGCGTGAGCCTCATTTTCAATGAAAATGTAGCCGGCGCCCCGGCGAGAGCGCCAGGGCGCCTTTAAGGGGTCCAACAATAATAGTTGCTTAGTAATTAACATTCAACAACAACAACGACAACAACAACGGAACAAGGATACTCCTCACCACGGATCCGCACTTAAACCACGCACCCAGGGACAATGAATGACCGTTCGGCCCCCTCACTCTGACTATTCGTATGGCTAATACTATTATGATTAATCTTCTTTTTATTGTTATTCTGAATCTTTCTTCTTATATGCGTAACACCCCGCAGTTGCGGATAAGAGTGAGGAGGCGGCGGGAACGTCTGCAGTCTGCGAGGCTCTGAAGAAGCCCGCCGCAGGCGCAAACTTTTCAAACTATACCATGAGCCCGCCGCAGGCGCCGATCTTTTTTTCTTTGTTAAAAAAATGAAGGTGGGTCGCGGGTGGGGTCGCAGGTGGGTCGCGGGTGGGTCGACGGTGGGTCGCGGGTGGGTCGCGGGCCAAATCGCGGGTGGGTCGCGGGTGGGTCGCTGGTGGGTCGCGGGTGGGTCGCGAGCGGGTCGCGGGGTGGGTCGCGAGCGGGTCGCGGGGTGGGTCGTGGGTGGGTCGCGGGCTGGGTCGCGGGGGGGACGACGACAACAACAAACAACAAACAACAAACAACAACAACAACAACAACAACAACAACAACAACAACAACAACACCAACACCAACACCAACACCAACACCAACACCAACAACAACAACAACAACAACAACAACAATAACAACGACAACAACAACAGCAGCAACAACAACAACGCAACAAACATAATCCTCACCACGGATCCGCACTTGAGCCACGCACCCAGGGACAATGAATGGCCGTTCGGCCCCCTCACTCTGATAATACGAGTACACCCAGAGGCTCCCGAGGGAAAATGTAGGACATGTGATATTGTTTGCCTGTCGCTTGCTTTGTCCCCAATGACTCAAGATGGCTTCAAGATGGCTTCTCGAGGACTCCAGATAGCCCCGATCGTGCCCGCGATGGGCCCAAAGCTCACCAAAGGTGGCCCGACAATGCCCAAGCAGGGCCCTAAGATGCCCCTAGATGGCCCCCAGAGGTCCCAAGATCGCAACATCTGGCTTCAAGGAGGCACCCAGACGCCGCAAGATGCCTTGAAGAGGCCCAAGATAGCCCAAAAAGGCCTCAGGAGGGACCCAAGATGCGCCCAAGATAGTGACACAGTGGCTCAACACAGAGGGGGCTGGCATCTGTGGGCGCAGTCCTTTAGATAGTTAGCGTCCAGAGAGCGAGAACAATGCTAAAATGTTGAACGCCTGCTGGAGCACATTTTAAATAAAATATCGGCGGGTGATTAAAAAAACAATATCATGCTAAAGGGAATCCCAAATCAGCGAGCTTGGCAGCGACCATGTCAACTGCAGCGGGGTTCTCGATGGTGCCAGGCACTGGCACGGGCTTGCCGTCGGCGAGGCCCCGGATATTCTTCCGCAGCACCTGGAGGAGGAGGAGGAGAGGTCCGAATGGGAGTAACTGTGAGTAGGATGAGAAAGGCGAGGAGCGCCAAGCACCTTGCCGGAGCGCGTCTTGGGCAGCTGGTCGACGACGCCGACGGCTGCCGGTGTGGCGATGGGTCCCACGTCCTGCCGCACCTTCTGTACAAGATCCTTCGGAGGAGGAAAGAGGTGCCCGTGCCGCTGCGCCTGCCTCGTTTTCGCTTTTTTTTGGGGGGGGGGGGTTGCCTCGTTTTCGTCTTTTTGGGCCTCCTGGGAGACCCTCGTGGCCACCGCTGGATTCGCCTCAAGATCCAGGTCAGCTTGCACCCCGGGAGAGGCGGAGCAGCGGTCTCAGCACCTATTGGTTCCCCCCATCCTGTGCCACTTCGGCGTGTGTGCGCGACACGCCGTCCATCAGCACCACGAGGACGAGTGGCACCTGTCCCTTGACGGGGCACGAGGCCCCCACGGCAGCACAATCGTTCACGTCTGGATGCGCCTTGACGGAGGCCTCGAGGGAGCCACACGAAATCCTGTGAGCTGCCACGTTGATAACGTCGTCGGTGCGTTCCAGCACTGTGACGTACCCGTCTGCATCCAAAACGCCTGCGTCTCCTGTGGAGTAATATCCCTTGTAGGTCTCCATGTAGGCCTTTACATAGCCTGCATCGTTGTTCCACAGAGTGGGAAATGTGCCTGGTGGCAACGGCAACTTGGCGGCCAACGGACCTGGCACATCAACTTTGGAGATTGGCTGGCCGTCTGCGCCCATAACACAAATCTCGTAGCCGGGCATTGGGAGGCTCGTGCTGCCATCCTTGCGACCTATCGCATCATCTTGGAAACCACAAATCGGCGATCCTGTTTCGGTCTGCCACCAGTTATCGAAAACTGGTACGCCGAGCGCTTTGGCAAATGTTTTGCTCGTCTCGGGGTCACACCGCTCCCCAGCCACGAACAGGGTGCGGAGCGTCGAGATGTCATATTTGCGGATGAACTCAAGATGGGGATCCTCTTTACGCACCGCGCGGAGCCCTGTTGGGGCAACGAAGAATCCTCGGACCTTGTGCTGCTGAATCACGCGCCAAAAGGCTCCTGCATCTGGCGTGCCCACTGGCTTCCCTTCATAAAGAACAGTGGCGCAGCCCTGCAAAAGTGGAGCGTATACAATGTAGGAGTGGCCTACGACCCAACCAATGTCCGATGCAGCCCAATAAGTCTCGCCAGGGAACGTGTTCATGAATGCTCCCATCGACCACTTGAGCGACACAGCGTAGCCCGCAGTGTCACGGACCACCCCTTTAGGCGTCCCCGTAGTCCCAGAGGTGTACAAAATGTACAAAGGGTCGTTGGAACCGACTGGCACGCACTCCCTGCAAGGCGTGGCTGCTGAGACAGCCGCATCCCAATCCAAATCTCTTGGACCCATCTCTGCACAAAGCTCCGGCCGCTGCTTCACTATGCAGTGGGCTGGCTGGTGCTTTGCAGTGGCAAGCGCGCCGTCGAGCATGGGCTTGTAAGGAACAATTCGGTTGGGCTCCACGCCACAGGAGGCAGCAAGCACAACCTTGGGCTTGGCATCGTCGATGCGGACCGCAAGCTCCTGAGCCCCAAAGCCACCGAAGACGACCGAATGCGGGGCTCCCAAACGCGCGCACGCGAGCATGGCGAAGACGGCCTCTGGTATCATAGGCATGTAGATGACAACGGTATCACCCTTCTCAACGCCCTGATGTTTGAGCATGCCTGCCAGCTTTGCAATCTCATGTTGCAGCTGCGTGTAGCTAAATGTGCGTAGTTGGCCAGTCAAAGGAGAATCATATATGAGAGCCGTCCTGCTGCCATTCCCCTCGTCAACATGTCTATCCACGGCATTGTAACATACGTTCAGCTCGCCGCCAGGAAACCACCGGTAGAAAGGCTCCTCCAATTTCTCGAGCACCTTTTCGTAAGGCTTCGACCACACGATATCCGCAGCCGCCTCGGCCCAGAATTTCTCGCGATCCTCTACGGAGCGTCGGTGCATCTCCGTGTATGCGGCACGTGAAATGGCTCTCCGCTGATCTGTATTATCGGGGATGGACAGACCTCCCTTTAGCAAAACGTGGTTTAGTGAAAACGACCCGAGGCCTAACCCTGGCGGGCGCAAGCCTGGAAAATGACGGCCACGGCGCCCCCTCGAGAACCGAAAACGGACAATTCACTAATCGACGTGTCACTGTTGGGGGTTCTGTCCACCCCCGAGATTGGCATCACTGCCAGGGCAGTGGGCTGCCAGCAGTGTGCGGGGCCTGCCGCTCCGCACAGCGCGCGCTGTTGCCAGCAGGCGCCCTCCGCTGCGGACCGTGACAGAGGAAGCTGCCATGGGGAGCAGCACCGGTCAGAGCGAGGGGCCGACCGGTCTTGTGCTGACCCCTGGCGCACAGCTGACGTGGGGCTCGTTATCGCTACTTGCTGTCGTCGTCGCGCTTGTGCTTGTGCTTCGTTGAGCATCGTTTGTCCCTCTGGGCATGGCCTGGGCCCCACTGTCCGATTTACCCTCCTAGATGAGGATCTAGACTGTTTCCTTTGGGCTTCGATGGGTATATCCCCAACTGAGGTGCTGAGATGGTGGGGGTCTGGATGGGGATGGGGATGGGGATGGGGGTCGGCCCAACGATACTCGTCGTCGTCGTCGCTGCCGCGCCCTGCCGACGACCCGCCCACGACCCGCTCCCGCCACGATGCCGCGCCTCTGCGGCGCTCAGGCGATCGCAGCGAACCCGCCTAAAAAAAAAAAACGCCCTGCGGCCCGCCCGCGCACGACCCGCCCACTGCGACCCATGCTGCGAGCAGTGCCTGGCGGCACACGTCGCGCCGACGCCGCGACCCGCGAGCCGCTGGCGACCGCCGCGAGCCGCCAACGACAGGCGCTAGCGATCCTCCCGAGGCAGGGCAGAGTGTACGGTCAAAAACCCTAATGAGGACGCGCGGTAAGGACGCAAGACCCTTGGAAGCCGAAGTTGGGATTTCTGGGGCGGCGGACGACGAAATCCTCAAGGACGCAAGAGCAAGGAAGAGCAAGGACGCAAGGGTACCCTGAGCAAAGTCGCGCGTCCTTATTAGGGTTTTTGACTGTACGTGCCAAGACCTGCGACGCCGTGATTGGTTCACTACGGGGTCCCTGGCAGTCTCGGCCCCTTCTCCACAGCTTTTTTGAAAGGGCACTGGGACACACACAAATAAATACACACAGATACCAGAATTCCCAATATTTTCCGATATTTTCAAGGTTTCTGTCTTCCCCCCCACTTCCCCTATTTTCCCAAATCTTCTGGGGAATCGACGATCCATTGTGTCTGTGTGTTTTGTTTCCCTCCTGATCTTCATCATGCATGCGTCGCTCACTGTCGCCAGCGTGGCCCAGAAACGTTCGCCAGCGGCAGTACGCGGCGAACACCGATGGTCACTCATGCTTCGGTCCCCAAGGGCTCGGAAGGTCGAGCTCGCCAACGGTGCTCCGAGGCCCCTGGAGGCTCCTGGAGGCCCAGAAAGGAAGCACACAATGCTTCCAAACAACGAACCTTGATCCTCCCTCCTCCTGCCTCCCCCAGCGTGAAAGAAACGTGTCCTGAAGGAAACGGGTCCTGGACCCGGCGCTTCCCCCAACATGTCCTGGCGAGTCGCCATCCGAGGGTCCTGGGACCCAGTGGATCCTGGGGAGCACGACAACGATGACAAACCTCCAGGAGCCGTTTTCCTCAAGACCCTTGCTTTTCATGTTTTCCCTACCATCCTGTGCTGCTGGGTCCTCTTTTTGAATACACAGCGCCCCACGTCCACTTCCTCCTTCCTCATTCCTCCTCCTCCTCCTCCTCCTTCGTCGTCCTCCTCCTCCTCCTCCTCCTCCTCCTTCTCCTCCTCCTCCTCGTCCTCCTCCCATCCCTGCCTCTGCCCTCCGCCACCCCTCACACGCGTCGCGGCCCCACAGGGAGCTCCACCGAAGGCCCCAGCGGCAGCGTCCGCTTGGCGCACCCCCACCCGACCCAGCCGACCCCTCACACGTTTCGTGGCCCCACACGGAGTTCCACCGAAGGCCCCAGCGGCAGCGTCCGCATGGCGCACCCGCACCCAACTAGGCACAACCCTCGGGTCGGGCGAAAAGGGGGGATAGCAAAGGGCGGGTTTGAGAATCAGCTCACGCAGCTGATTTTCCCGGCGCCTCCCGGCGCCGAAGGCGGCCATGTATCGAGGAATGGGCCCCTCGGTGGGGCCGAAACCAGCTGCATGCAGCAAATTTCGTAACCCCCCCTTTCCCAATCCCCCCCTTTCGCCCGGCCCGAAACCCTCACACGCTTCGTGGCGCCAGCAGGGAGCTTCACCGAAGGCCCCAGGGGCCGGGTCTGCACGGCGGCCCCGCACGAATTTCGTCGGATCCCTCACCCGTTTCGTTGCCCTCTACTGAGGGCCCCACTGGCAGGCTCCGCATGGCGGCCACGCACCCATACCGGCAGACCCCAGCAAACAAACGCTTCGTGGCGCCATGAAGAGCTCCACCGAAGGCCCCAGCGGAAGGGTCCCATTTTGGAACACCCCATCCCACGTTTCGTGGACCATCGGAGAGCTCCAGCGAAGGCCCCAGCGGCAAGGTTCGCATCGCGGCCCCGCACCAATTTCGGCACACCCCTCATACGTTCCGTGGCGCCATCACGACCTGCCTTTTCTTCGCCGATCTGTCTTGCGGCACTCGCCTCCGCATGTTTGAACACTCCGCCTGGACAACTGCTGTTAGGCGGGGTCTCCCCAAATCCCGACCCTTTCCCGAACCGTGTTCCGACGGTCTCAGATCCCGGCGAGGGTCTTCGGATGACGAAGGTCTAGAAAACCCTCCTCCTGCGTTTGCCCGGTAAGGGCTCTGGCCCAGGGCTCGCTTTGTGTTGGCGGGCTTGTGGCCCTGCACCAGAGGGGGGTGTCTCCAACATGACTCTCGGCGCACACGCGTTCGGCACGTGTTTTCATACGTTTCTCGCCACAGCGGGACCCCCAGGGGGGACCCGACTTCTAGTCGGCGGATTTTATACACTTAGCAATTCGCGCGCGGAGAGGGGGGAACCCAACATGCGCCTGCGAGTGTGCGCGGCACGTGCTTTCAAGTGTCCACAGCCCCTGGAAGGGGACCGAACTTCTAGTCGTGGGATTCTGCTTTTCATGAATGAATTACCAGAGACGTACCGAAACACTCCCCCACGCGAGGCGAATAGTTGTATGAATGCAGCACACACAAAAAAGAACAGTGCTGCCCTCATCTCCGCCGTGCCTCCCAAAAACACACGCAGATAGTAACACTTGCGCAATTCGTAGCCTCACGGGGATCCGTGAGGTCTCGGCTGGACCCGCGTGGCCCCCGACTTCCCTGGACCTCCCAGGAGCCCACGAAAGTGGCGACACTTGAGCAGTTCGAAGCCACCCAAGGAGCTGCGAAGTCTCGCCTAGGTGTGCGTGGCCCCCGACCCCGCTAGACATCCCCTGAATCCACGGGAATGGCGACACTGCCCCCCCCCAACTGCGAGGTCTCGGCTGGGTGCGCGTACTCCCCTACTTCTCCGCCGTGCCTCTCAGGAGCCCATGAAAGTGGCGACACTTGCGCAGCTCGCAGTCCCTCGGGGAGCTGCGAGGTCTCGTCTGGTTGCGCGTGGCCCAGGACTACACTGGACCTCACAGGAGCCCACGAAAGTGGCGACACTTGCGCATCTCGCAACCATCCAGGGAGCTGTGAGGTCTCGGCTGGGTGCGCGAACTCTGCTACTCCGCCGTGTCTCCCAGGAGCCAACGAAAGTGACGACAGTTGCGAAGTTCACAGCCACCCAAGGAGCTGCGAGGTCTCGTCTGGGTGCGCGCACTCCCGTGCTCCGCCGCGCTTCCCAGACGCCCACGAAACAGGCGACAATTGCGCAGCTCGCAGTCTCCCGAGGAGCTGCGAGATCTCGGCTGGGTGCGCGTACTCCCCTGCTTCTCCGCCGCGCCTCCCAGACGCCCACGAAAGTGGCGACACCTGCGCAGCTCGCAGCCCCCCAGGGAGCAGCGAGATCTCTCGACTGGGTGCGCCTACTCCCCAGCTCTGCCGTGCCTCCCGGGAGCCCACGAGCGTGGCGATTCTTGCCCAGCTTGGACCACCCAGCTGGCCATCGCTCGGACGTCCATTGCCTGTGTTTTGTTTCGGTTTCGTGCGTGGTTTTGTTCGCCAAGTGATCAAGGATGCTACTCGATGGTCCTCGCCGAAGGAAAAATGCACACGTCCGAGCGATGCCAAGCCAGGGAGCAGCGCAAGAGAAGCAGGGGAGGAGGGAGGCGGGAGAGGAGGCGGGGACCCCGTGCTCGACACTGCACGAGAGCCCAGCGCAGGAGGTTGGGGACAACGTATATGCGGAGGAGGGGGCACAGCATGCGCCTGGCTCCTGCGCGCGGGGCATGTGTTTTCGCCGGCCCACGGCCTCCAGGGGGAACCCAAACTTCTGGCCAAAGGGATCATTTACGCGTGCAATTGCGTGTGCGGATGGGGGGGGCAACACGCGCCTGGCGCGTGCGCGCGGGGCACATGTTTTCGCGTGTCTACGGCCCCCAGGGGGGGACCCAACTTCTAGCCGGCGGATTCTTCACACGTGGCAGTGCGTGTGTGTGGTGGGGGGGAACTTCTTGTCGGCGGATTCTTTACGCATAAAAATGTGCGCACGGAGGGGGGTGCCCGACATGCGCTTGGCGCGTGCGCGCGGGCCACCCGGTTTCACGCGTCCACGACCCCCAGCGGGGGGCCCAACGTCTAGTCGATAGACTCTTTACGCGTGAGCTTACGCACGCGAAGGGAAGGGACCCAACATGCGCCTGGCGCGTGCGCGCGCGGGGCGTACGGGCTCTGGCCCAGGGTTCTCTTTGTGTTGGCGGGCCTTTGGCCCCGCACCAGAAGGGTGTCGAGCAGCACGTGACACGTAAGAGTGCGTTTGCGGAGGGGGGGCCTCCAACATGCGTCTCGGCGTGCGTGCCTCCGGTATAACGTTTCACATGTTTCTTGCCCGTGCGCGCGAGGCACGGTTTTTTCACGTGTCCACGGCCCCTGGGGGGGGCCCAACGTCTAGCCGGCGGATGCCTCAAACGGACGAGCACGTGCGCGGAAGGGGTGGCCCAAAAATGCGCCTGGCGCGCGCGCGTGGGGCACGCGTATTCACGCGGCCGCGGCCCCAGTGGGGCACCTCACTTCCAGTCGGTGGGCCCTTTACGCATGAGGATGCGTGCGCGAAGGGGTGGGGCCCAACATTGTAACATGCGCCCGGCGCGCGCGCGTGGGGCGGAGGGGGCTGCGGCCCAGGGTTCTCTCTCTGTGCTGCCCCTGCA